AATATAAACCTTTCACTTAGCTTTTCAGATTCTATAAATCTCAGAAACTCATAATAGTTTTTTAAATTATGTAAGCAATACATGTATACTAATATAATTTTTGTTATTATATTCGCTGACCAAAATTCTCTTGAATTGACTCTTGTTGATATAGAATAGCTGCCTCCTTGTTCCATCGCTAAATCTAAATAAAACTAGAGTCGTATATATGTACTTTATAGAGTTCTTTTACCTTTCAGATATTTTCAACCACAATTTCCTTAATACTGTTTTATAATAACCATTTGCCAGAAGGTTTGATATATAACCACAGAAGGCTGCATGTTGCATCGTACGAGAAATTATGACTTAAATTAATGTACTTTCTGATATAAAATAATTTCAATTGACTCCGATCTTCAAAATTTACTCAACATTTAGTCTTTTAGAAATTAATTTCAAATGCTACGAAATCGCACTAAACGATTTGTTTGTTGCATGATCATTTGGATGAATATATTTTATGAAGCATATGTTACTACTGGTAAGTAGTATAAATGCATCCAAGTTATATTTTAAAACTATGGTATTTCAGTTACTGCTGGATTTAGGAAAGGACAAACCTATAACAGTAAGAAATATGTGATAAAATGCGCTTATCATAAGCTTCGTAACAGAATGAACCCTGATTGTGTTTAAAAGGGAGAATCTGTGGAACATTGATTCGTCTGAACGAATTCTAGTCATTTCATGTGCAAAATTTTACTGTAGTTGAGATATTATAGGCTGCAGTTGATTTACTTGTCTTAATGTCACAACAAAATATCTGAATTAGAAAGACATTTACTTCAAAAATGCAGATTTACAATTTTCTGCACGCTACTAAGCTGGAAACAACACATAATATATAATTTATCTCTGCGAAATAACTGTGACACATGCTGAAAATAAAACAGGACGACGACACAGTTTCAATGCACAACGTTTTCGAGATCCCCACTGAGTGAATGAAAGTGAAAATATTTAGTTATCAGCATTCGATCAATTAGAACACTTGAAGGTAGTTTTCAGCAGTTTTTATATAAACTGTAAACAGTTGAATTTTATTTGCGTATAGTTTAAAAACAGTACAAATGATCTCTATTGACAGTCATAAATGAAGTACACTGTATTTAAGTATAAGTAAATAATTCATACGAAAACCTTCAAGTGTAGCTGTCCTTACCTAAACGATCAATCATTATGAAGAAATAAGTACAAGATGATTCATTTAAACTTACCGGTGAAATAACAAACAATCCATATCAAAACAAACAACAAAAATAATTTCACATTGTTCCATTAACAACTGAACAAAATGTGGAAAAATTGATTTATATTTGAATTCTTCGTAAAATACAAAAACATGTAATCAAAAATCAATTCATTAATAAGAAACAAAACAATTGCGCGATTCTGCTGATTAATAAACATAAATCAATTCATCCAATAAAATAGTAATTTCTATGGCTAAACACTGAAATTTTATTAGAGTTGAATATAGTTTCAGACAAATTGTCATTTTAGTAAGTGAAAATGATAGTTTTTTGAAGGTGGAATCATATCCAATAGATAAGTTAGCACAAATCCAGAGAAGCCGACCGAAATTCTCTCTCTGATAGTTAGAAATGTCTAAATGCAAGAGTGATTACTACCATTTATCATTTTATTCTATATTTACCAAAACTTGATTTTCCTGAGAGGCGGAATTCCTGGAGTAATGAATTATTTTCTATTGAACCTTGTTAAGATGACAGAGAGATGATGAAGTGTATTTATCTTCGGTGAAGTTTTATTCTCGGGGCTGGATTGTATTTAACTATATATATATTTTTTTACAAGTTTGTTAAAAACGGTTAGAAATTGGTTGAAGGTCCTTAAGCGTCAATTTGATTATGGATAGTGATATTTCGAACAAATCAACAAACTGAAGCAACAAAGTTTCATTGTAAAAAAAATTAATCTTACTATAGAAATAAGCCTTACAATATCTTACTTAGTATAAGGATATGCTAGACCTGAATAATCATACTGCATATACACTACAAATGAATCTATGATTTTCCAAAATTTTCTTACATTAAGCTGATAACTATCTCTCTTATATTCAGAATTGGTACATCATATAAAGCGAACAAAATAATTTAGTGCACATTAGTCAGCAGTCATAAATTTTCAGATGAATCAGAAGTTAAAATCATCCACTTGTTGATAATGTATTTGGAAGTGAGATAAAATGTTTATGTGAGTTATCGTTAAGAAACAAATAATAATATTCTAAATTATTATGGTTTAAATTTTATTTTATAGTATAAATAGAAATGATAATTTATGAGTTTTCCAAACATGACACAATGGGACACATTCATGTGACTGAAGAAAAGTATTATCTAAGAACTAAAACTTTAATAGTTTATTTTCAAAAATATTAGTTTTCATACAAATCGATATGTCTATGACAGTTTCATTCAGCTGCTAATGTCACTTTAAGTGCTGGGTAAACACCAAAATAACTCACTGATTCTAAGTGTAACATTATAGAATGTTTTACACCTGAAGATGCATCAACTAGAATGACACAGCCATTATTCAATCACGAAAATTCCCTTTGAATCCATAATTGATCTGTATTCTTCATTCAAACAATGTTGTGAATTAATCAAATTGTGAAATATGAACAATTTTATGCCACATTACTACTTTCTAACTCAAAAGCTGACTGTTATTATTTTTGACGGTACACACCAGGCTACGAATTGATTGACTTATTCTATGCGCTCACAAACTATGAGAAATTCACTGGTCAGGGTTATTGATTTTTCTCGCCTAAACCAGTTCATTCTGTAAATCATCTTCATTTTATTCATTTTGTGTTGTAAACTGATTCATTGAATTTTTCATCAACATTTAAAATAACAGTTGATTCAAAAATTGAAGCTTGAAATAATAGAATAAAATTAGTTGAATTCCATTTTTTTTTATCTCGAAAATGTAACATATACCACTGTATGCAAATAATCAGTTTATTGACCAGTTTATCATCATTCATTGAACGAAATGATGTTGTTTTTATGAATCATTTCAAAATAAAATCAATCTGAAAAAAAAAACTTTAACACACACACACAGGCCAATTCCCCATAATAAACACAAACAATCAATATTATTTATGGTCACAGCATGCATCGCAATCATCTATCTACCTTACAAACACCATGGAATAATACAATTTGATCGAGTACAATCTAATCCATAAATTAAAAATCATATTTGAACAAGGTTTAAACAAAGTTTCTGCATATGATTAATCACTTTGTGTATGTAGTAGGTCGGAGAATCATTTATCTTCATAAGCCTACAACCTACCTGTACATGCATACATAAATACATACCTACATACTTAAACACACATGCATAATACATTAGGCCCAAAAAATTAATCACAAAATGATATTTTTGTTGTTATCGAAATCCGTATTGAATTGGTGCGCAAATATAAATTTAGCGCCAAATATATATATATATATATATATATATATATATATATATATATGATTAAAACAAGATTTTCACACTGAAAACGAGATTTATTAATTCATTTGATAAATTAGATAAATTATTTTCTTTTATTAATTTTTTTTACTTCATTTCATGGCACGTGTTCTAGCAGCAGCATTTAGTCATCAGTGTGGTAGATCATTGTATGATTATGATTATGATTATTTTTATTGTGAATAATGTTTATTTTTTTCGAAAAAAATAAAAAAAAAATAAGAGAGGGAAAATTTATACCAGATGCTAAATGTCTATAATTAAGTGTCTTAAAAATATATAACATTTCGTTTTAGTCTTTTATTATTTATCAGCGAAACTACATATATATATATATATATATATATATATATATATATATATATATATATATATATATTTCTGTATGGATGCACATTTTCTCCTTTGAACAGAGAGATCTAAATAATGGATATGCTTGTGAAGTGAAAAGATGTGCATGCTTTTTTCTTTATAAACTTGGTTAACCGATTTATATATATATATATATATATATATATATATATATTTAACATTTATAATTCGCTTTGTATAGGTGACGACTATATAGACAAAATAAACAATTAATAGCGCAAACGAAGTGAAGCAATTCGGTGAAAATCACGAGGTGTGTCTAGTTGAATCTTTTTTTTCTGCTCGTTCTAATTATTTGACGTTCAGTTTTTTTTTTGGATTTCTTGTGAATATTGGTAACCATGAGCTATATTATATATATATATATATATATATTAAACAGTACAGAAACATGACTTACACAAATTAACCGGATTTACTGTTTTTTTTAAGTTAGATGTGATGAGATAAGTGGCAATGCAGGCAAAATTACAAGTAGACAAGTTGAGTTTAGTGAACGAAAAGCCTAAAAAGCCGTACACTCTGACCATAGATCATCCACTAAATCGGTCTTGCAGCGCCGCTAAACTATAATATTTACTTTTCGATTAAATAAGATTCTGGATGACTTTAACAAACAAAAATATTTCATGAAAAGTTCCTTATTGTCCCTAATTGTTATTCATAATTTGTATAGTAGTATCTTTTTTGAAATAAAAGGATTATACTAGGTCAATCGGACACTTAATAATATAAACATATGCGTATAAAATAAGATGGAAACATTTTTTATTTATATCAATATTTATATGTATGAGTAAACATTAGACGGGAAGAGAAAAAAAAATTATTCATAGAGAATAATATTTATCAGTTACAAAATTCATCACAATTTTACAAGTAATATCTTCATCATTTTTACTTTAGTTTTTATTTTATAAACGAAACAATGGTGTTTAAGATTGTTGTTGAAAAGGAAAATAGAGTTTGTTTGTTAAATCGTTTTTGTATTGTTTTTTTCTGTTGGTAAGTATTTTTTTCTGTTGTTTTAATCGTTTTAATTTCATGTTTAAGTGAATTTATTCTTCTGTATCGGTATCTTTATGATATTGAAATAATGAACCAATATTCCATGAATATAAACCACGATTAATACGATCCAATTCTTTGAGAATGCAAAGTCGCCATTTTAATTTACGTGCTGTATAACTTAGTGTACTTTCATCAGGATTATTGTGATAATTCGGATTGGTATCATGTGATGATACCATTGTTTTACTACCAATTAAACGTAGACAATGTTCAGCAGCTTGATCAACTTTTTCTGATGAAAAATATTCATTGATAAGTGCTTCATTATCTGTATCGAACTAAAGTGAAAGTGAGAAGAAAGTGAAGAAAATCATATTGGAATAGTTTGATGGGGAAAACAAAAACTCTAGTGAATATAAAGCAGTTTTGTTTTTTGTGGCTCTACATGAATTATCCAAAAATAGCTGGTGGTTATATGAATTTCATGTGAGAAATGTGAACTTTTATAGGCGAAGTTTTCTTCTACTGGTAATAATTTTTTATTCTGATTACCTTGACTGACTAAGTACATCAATAATAATGCATGTTTATATCATGAAGTCAGAAGAATAGATTGTATTTCAAGGTTTATTTATATCAAATGCAAATGATGAGAACCAAATAATATATATTAGTAGTTATCGTCTAAAACGGATGTTGTAAACATTTCTACTCAATGATTATCGTATGTGAGAGCTTAGTTATTCATCTGATGAGGTTTTACTGTAGTCGACTTTTCATTTTTTTAATCTGCTTAGATTTGATATTAAACAGGATATTGAATCATCATAGCCAGTCATGAAAGTGATGAACATAAATTTAAGTCGTACTGCTAACTACTACTAATACTATTCAGTTTTCATTTATTAGAAATAAAATAATGACTTCAGTTGTTTGCAGTTGTATTGTAGTTGGTAATCATTAGTTAGATCATAGTTTACACTGAACAAAATTAAGTCAGTCATAGAGTTTGTTTAGTTTTCATACAATAAAACTTATTAATAAAGAAAATAAGGTTAATTTAAGCTCGTTTCACAAAATAAAAAGTTACAAATAATTACAATAGTGGAAAAAAAAACACTACTGATGGAGAAACGGAAAACCAAATTACATAAAGAATATAATTATGAAATCATATATCTCTTATTCAATGGATAATTCTTGTACATTCTTTTCAACTCTTCAGTAATCGGAATAGTAGGCCATTCAATCTGCATTAACCCTAATATTATATGTTCTCTTTGAAAGTGCTCACCGATAGAGTTCATGCCGATCGTTCAGACGGAAATTTTCAGTTGTTGACTATTGAATGAGTAAAGCAGAAACCTACAGTTATCGTTGACTTTCATATACTAATACAGATTGACTACGTAAAAATCACAATTAATGAATGTACAAATTTCTTCTTTCCTAAAACTATTATTTTCGTCCGTATAAATGAATATATCGTTGAGCAGATAAAAAAACAGTACCAATCTGAAGAAAAAGAATCATAGAATTTCAACTAGTGTGATTGCAGACGTGACCAAAGTAAATAAATCTCTTTCTTCTATTTTTTCTTGAAAATCCAATTTGACCATATTCAAAACGTACAGTTTAAAAACAGTCGGTTTTTTTGTATTCTTCAAGATTTTTTTTGCATAATATGAATGAATTATTTAATTAATTAAATTAGCTATGACGCTTCATTACACAACAGTGAGCACGTGAATCTCCTCTCTTTTCCCTCACCGCCCACCCAACGCGGCCCCACCTCCCCCCCCCACCTGGGCCCTCCTGCGTGGCTGGTGCCGGAAATGAGAGGAGATTCACGTGCTCACTGTTGTGTAATGAAGCGTCATAGCTAATTTAATTAATTAAATAATTCATTCATATTATGCAAAAAAAATCTTGAAGAATACAAAAAAACCGACTGTTTTTAAACTGTACGTTTTGAATATGGTCAAATTGGATTTTCAAGAAAAAATAGAAGAAAGAGATTTATTTACTTTGGTCACGTCTGCAATCACACTAGTTGAAATTCTATGATTCTTTTTCTTCAGATTGGTACTGTTTTTTTATCTGCTCAACGATATATTCATTTATACGGACGAAAATAATAGTTTTAGGAAAGAAGAAATTTGTACATTCATTAATTGTGATTTTTACGTAGTCAATCTGTATTAGTATATGAAAGTCAACGATAACTGTAGGTTTCTGCTTTACTCATTCAATAGTCAACAACTGAAAATTTCCGTCTGAACGATCGGCATGAACTCTATCGGTGAGCACTTTCAAAGAGAACATATAATATTAGGGTTAATGCAGATTGAATGGCCTACTATTCCGATTACTGAAGAGTTGAAAAGAATGTACAAGAATTATCCATTGAATAAGAGATATATGATTTCATAATTATATTCTTTATGTAATTTGGTTTTCCGTTTCTCCATCAGTAGTGTTTTTTTTTCCACTATTGTAATTATTTGTAACTTTTTATTTTGTGAAACGAGCTTAAATTAACCTTATTTTCTTTATTAATAAGTTTTATTGTATGAAAACTAAACAAACTCTATGACTGACTTAATTTTGTTCAGTGTAAACTATGATCTAACTAATGATTACCAACTACAATACAACTGCAAACAACTGAAGTCATTATTTTATTTCTAATAAATGAAAACTGAATAGTATTAGTAGTAGTTAGCAGTACGACTTAAATTTATGTTCATCACTTTCATGACTGGCTATGATGATTCAATATCCTGTTTAATATCAAATCTAAGCAGATTAAAAAAATGAAAAGTCGACTACAGTAAAACCTCATCAGATGAATAACTAAGCTCTCACATACGATAATCATTGAGTAGAAATGTTTACAACATCCGTTTTAGACGATAACTACTAATATATATTATTTGGTTCTCATCATTTGCATTTGATATAAATAAACCTTGAAATACAATCTATTCTTCTGACTTCATGATATAAACATGCATTATTATTGATGTACTTAGTCAGTCAAGGTAATCAGAATAAAAAATTATTACCAGTAGAAGAAAACTTCGCCTATAAAAGTTCACATTTCTCACATGAAATTCATATAACCACCAGCTATTTTTGGATAATTCATGTAGAGCCACAAAAAACAAAACTGCTTTATATTCACTAGAGTTTTTGTTTTCCCCATCAAACTATTCCAATATGATTTTCTTCACTTTCTTCTCACTTTCACTTTAGTTCGATACAGATAATGAAGCACTTATCAATGAATATTTTTCATCAGAAAAAGTTGATCAAGCTGCTGAACATTGTCTACGTTTAATTGGTAGTAAAACAATGGTATCATCACATGATACCAATCCGAATTATCACAATAATCCTGATGAAAGTACACTAAGTTATACAGCACGTAAATTAAAATGGCGACTTTGCATTCTCAAAGAATTGGATCGTATTAATCGTGGTTTATATTCATGGAATATTGGTTCATTATTTCAATATCATAAAGATACCGATACAGAAGAATAAATTCACTTAAACATGAAATTAAAACGATTAAAACAACAGAAAAAAATACTTACCAACAGAAAAAAACAATACAAAAACGATTTAACAAACAAACTCTATTTTCCTTTTCAACAACAATCTTAAACACCATTGTTTCGTTTATAAAATAAAAACTAAAGTAAAAATGATGAAGATATTACTTGTAAAATTGTGATGAATTTTGTAACTGATAAATATTATTCTCTATGAATAATTTTTTTTTCTCTTCCCGTCTAATGTTTACTCATACATATAAATATTGATATAAATAAAAAATGTTTCCATCTTATTTTATACGCATATGTTTATATTATTAAGTGTCCGATTGACCTAGTATAATCCTTTTATTTCAAAAAAGATACTACTATACAAATTATGAATAACAATTAGGGACAATAAGGAACTTTTCATGAAATATTTTTGTTTGTTAAAGTCATCCAGAATCTTATTTAATCGAAAAGTAAATATTATAGTTTAGCGGCGCTGCAAGACCGATTTAGTGGATGATCTATGGTCAGAGTGTACGGCTTTTTAGGCTTTTCGTTCACTAAACTCAACTTGTCTACTTGTAATTTTGCCTGCATTGCCACTTATCTCATCACATCTAACTTAAAAAAAACAGTAAATCCGGTTAATTTGTGTAAGTCATGTTTCTGTACTGTTTAATATATATATATATATATATATAATATAGCTCATGGTTACCAATATTCACAAGAAATCCAAAAAAAAAACTGAACGTCAAATAATTAGAACGAGCAGAAAAAAAAGATTCAACTAGACACACCTCGTGATTTTCACCGAATTGCTTCACTTCGTTTGCGCTATTAATTGTTTATTTTGTCTATATAGTCGTCACCTATACAAAGCGAATTATAAATGTTAAATATATATATATATATATATATATATATATATATATAAATCGGTTAACCAAGTTTATAAAGAAAAAAGCATGCACATCTTTTCACTTCACAAGCATATCCATTATTTAGATCTCTCTGTTCAAAGGAGAAAATGTGCATCCATACAGAAATATATATATATATATATATATATATATATATATATATATATATATATATATATATGTAGTTTCGCTGATAAATAATAAAAGACTAAAACGAAATGTTATATATTTTTAAGACACTTAATTATAGACATTTAGCATCTGGTATAAATTTTCCCTCTCTTATTTTTTTTTTATTTTTTTCGAAAAAAATAAACATTATTCACAATAAAAATAATCATAATCATAATCATACAATGATCTACCACACTGATGACTAAATGCTGCTGCTAGAACACGTGCCATGAAATGAAGTAAAAAAAATTAATAAAAGAAAATAATTTATCTAATTTATCAAATGAATTAATAAATCTCGTTTTCAGTGTGAAAATCTTGTTTTAATCATATATATATATATATATATATATATATATATATATATATATTTGGCGCTAAATTTATATTTGCGCACCAATTCAATACGGATTTCGATAACAACAAAAATATCATTTTGTGATTAATTTTTTGGGCCTAATGTATTATGCATGTGTGTTTAAGTATGTAGGTATGTATTTATGTATGCATGTACAGGTAGTTTGTAGGCTTTATGAAGATAAATGATTCTCCGACCTACTACATACACAAAGTGATTAATCATATGCAGAAACTTTGTTTAAACCTTGTTCAAATATGATTTTTAATTTATGATTAGATTGTACTCGATCAAATTGTATTATTCCATGGTGTTTGTAAGGTAGATAGATGATTGCGATGCATGCTGATGACCATAAATAATATTGATTGTTTGTGTTTATTATGGGGAATTGGCCTGTGTGTGTGTGTTAAAGTTTTTTTTTTCAGATTGATTTTATTTTGAAATGATTCATAAAAACAACATCATTCGTTCAATGAATGATGATAAACTGGTCAATAAACTGATTATTTGCATACAGTGGTATATGTTACATTTTCGAGATAAAAAAAAATGGAATTCAACTAATTTTATTCTATTATTTCAAGCTTCAATTTTTGAATCAACTGTTATTTTAAATGTTGATGAAAAATTCAATGAATCAGTTTACAACACAAAATGAAAATATAATATGAAGATGATTTACAGAATGAACTGGTTTAGGCGAGAAAAATCAATAACCCTGACCAGTGAATTTCTCATAGTTTGTGAGCGCATAGAATAAGTCAATCAATTCCGTAGCCTGGTGTGTACCGTCAAAAATAATAACAGTCAGCTTTTGAGTTAGAAAGTAGTAATGTGGCATAAAATTGTTCATATTTCACAATTTGATTAATTCACAACATTGTTTGAATGAAGAATACAGATCAATTATGGATTCAAAGGGAATTTTCGTGATTGAATAATGGCTGTGTCATTCTAGTTGATGCATCTTCAGGTGTAAACATTCTATAATGTTACACTTAGAATCAGTGAGTTATTTTGGTGTTTACCCAGCACTTAAAGTGACATTAGCAGCTGAATGAAACTGTCATAGACATATCGATTTGTATGAAAACTAATATTTTTGAAAATAAACTATTAAAGTTTTAGTTCTTAGATAATACTTTTCTTCAGTCACATGAATGTGTCCCATTGTGTCATGTTTGGAAAACTCATAAATTATCATTTCTATTTATACTATAAAATAAAATTTAAACCATAATAATTTAGAATATTATTATTTGTTTCTTAACGATAACTCACATAAACATTTTATCTCACTTCCAAATACATTATCAACAAGTGGATGATTTTAACTTCTGATTCATCTGAAAATTTATGACTGCTGACTAATGTGCACTAAATTATTTTGTTCGCTTTATATGATGTACCAATTCTGAATATAAGAGAGATAGTTATCAGCTTAATGTAAGAAAATTTTGGAAAATCATAGATTCATTTGTAGTGTATATGCAGTATGATTATTCAGGTCTAGCATATCCTTATACTAAGTAAGATATTGTAAGGCTTATTTCTATAGTAAGATTAATTTTTTTTACAATGAAACTTTGTTGCTTCAGTTTGTTGATTTGTTCGAAATATCACTATCCATAATCAAATTGACGCTTAAGGACCTTCAACCAATTTCTAACCGTTTTTAACAAACTTGTAAAAAAATATATATATAGTTAAATACAATCCAGCCCCGAGAATAAAACTTCACCGAAGATAAATACACTTCATCATCTCTCTGTCATCTTAACAAGGTTCAATAGAAAATAATTCATTACTCCAGGAATTCCGCCTCTCAGGAAAATCAAGTTTTGGTAAATATAGAATAAAATGATAAATGGTAGTAATCACTCTTGCATTTAGACATTTCTAACTATCAGAGAGAGAATTTCGGTCGGCTTCTCTGGATTTGTGCTAACTTATCTATTGGATATGATTCCACCTTCAAAAAACTATCATTTTCACTTACTAAAATGACAATTTGTCTGAAACTATATTCAACTCTAATAAAATTTCAGTGTTTAGCCATAGAAATTACTATTTTATTGGATGAATTGATTTATGTTTATTAATCAGCAGAATCGCGCAATTGTTTTGTTTCTTATTAATGAATTGATTTTTGATTACATGTTTTTGTATTTTACGAAGAATTCAAATATAAATCAATTTTTCCACATTTTGTTCAGTTGTTAATGGAACAATGTGAAATTATTTTTGTTGTTTGTTTTGATATGGATTGTTTGTTATTTCACCGGTAAGTTTAAATGAATCATCTTGTACTTATTTCTTCATAATGATTGATCGTTTAGGTAAGGACAGCTACACTTGAAGGTTTTCGTATGAATTATTTACTTATACTTAAATACAGTGTACTTCATTTATGACTGTCAATAGAGATCATTTGTACTGTTTTTAAACTATACGCAAATAAAATTCAACTGTTTACAGTTTATATAAAAACTGCTGAAAACTACCTTCAAGTGTTCTAATTGATCGAATGCTGATAACTAAATATTTTCACTTTCATTCACTCAGTGGGGATCTCGAAAACGTTGTGCATTGAAACTGTGTCGTCGTCCTGTTTTATTTTCAGCATGTGTCACAGTTATTTCGCAGAGATAAATTATATATTATGTGTTGTTTCCAGCTTAGTAGCGTGCAGAAAATTGTAAATCTGCATTTTTGAAGTAAATGTCTTTCTAATTCAGATATTTTGTTGTGACATTAAGACAAGTAAATCAACTGCAGCCTATAATATCTCAACTACAGTAAAATTTTGCACATGAAATGACTAGAATTCGTTCAGACGAATCAATGTTCCACAGATTCTCCCTTTTAAACACAATCAGGGTTCATTCTGTTACGAAGCTTATGATAAGCGCATTTTATCACATATTTCTTACTGTTATAGGTTTGTCCTTTCCTAAATCCAGCAGTAACTGAAATACCATAGTTTTAAAATATAACTTGGATGCATTTATACTACTTACCAGTAGTAACATATGCTTCATAAAATATATTCATCCAAATGATCATGCAACAAACAAATCGTTTAGTGCGATTTCGTAGCATTTGAAATTAATTTCTAAAAGACTAAATGTTGAGTAAATTTTGAAGATCGGAGTCAATTGAAATTATTTTATATCTGAAAGTACATTAATTTAAGTCATAATTTCTCGTACGATGCAACATGCAGCCTTCTGTGGTTATATATCAAACCTTCTGGCAAATGGTTATTATAAAACAGTATTAAGGAAATTGTGGTTGAAAATATCTGAAAGGTAAAAGAACTCTATAAAGTACATATATACGACTCTAGTTTTATTTAGATTTAGCGATGGAACAAGGAGGCAGCTATTCTATATCAACAAGAGTCAATTCAAGAGAATTTTGGTCAGCGAATATAATAACAAAAATTATATTAGTATACATGTATTGCTTACATAATTTAAAAAACTATTATGAGTTTCTGAGATTTATAGAATCTGAAAAGCTAAGTGAAAGGTTTATATTGGTGAGACAAGGGAATGATATTAAATAAACATATTAAACCTAACATTCAAAGTGTTGATTTGAAAAAACTATATATACATACTCACTATAGGTGGTATATATCTCAAAGTTCAAAATACATTTAATTTTTCTGTGAGAGTATCATGGAGTGAAGTTCATTTTGTAAGTAGTTCAGTTAGGTTGTGGATCGTCATTTTTCTACTTTATGAATTCATCACAATATGTTATTGGATGATGACCGATTCATATTATGGTTTAGCAAAGGTTGCTAGGCCCTGAAATCATAAGCGCTTG